GGCTGATGTGCGCCAACCATTCATGTATTTTATTTGTTCATTTTTTTTTTTTTATAATCGATTCTTGCCTTCAAGAATCGATGCAGTAGATCACAAAAATTAGAATCGCGATGCATCGTCATGACGATTAATTTGCACACCCCTTAGTTATATCCAACTAACTTATTACTATGAGCAAACGACTTGAAGGCACAAACGTCATACACGCGCCGCTTTGTTTTTAAAACATATAAATATTAAAAATATAACAGTGGATGTCTGGGGGACAGTGATCCGCCTACATGTTATGAATGCTGGCGTACCATAAAGAATAAACGATGAACAGTTTAGTTTGTGCCTTCAAGTCGTTGCTCATAGGAAGACGTTACTTGGATATAACAAAACTGACACAAAACTGAGTAGAACGTGATGTAATAACGTAAAATCAAAAAACGGCGTTCCCCTTTAATATATTCGGGCAAGTTGGCGTTTCTTGTTATTACATTAACATTAATTTTGAATCTTACAAAGGTAATAAGGTCTTTTCCTGGATTCCAATAACAATATTAGCTTGAAATGTTGATTTTCAAAGTATAAAGGGTTAAGTTTAACTGTTTATATTAGTGTAAAAGAAGCCTGTCATCAATGTTGATTTTAATTACCTACAAAATCTGTCATGAACTCACTTCCACCATGCCGCCTCTATCATGAGGTAGATTTCACCCATGTCAGAACTTATTCTACAAATTTTCTTGCATTTCATCTTTAGCCTGATTTTTTTTTTTTTTTTAACTAAACCTCAAGCGAGCGTAAAAACGTTTGATTCCATTTTTGCTTTTTCTGTCAAACTCTTTTTATGTGATTCTTCAGAAAAACATTCAGGCGGTCTTAAAAACCCATAAAATCTGTATGCTCCTGTTTTTCTTGCTCATATCTCGTTTGTTAAACCAGTTGTTGCCAAAGCGGGAGAGCGCCCCCCATTTGTAAAAGTACAAAAATTATTAATTTAACATGAAATGCCTTTTAAGATGCAGATAAGATGCTTTATTCCACATCTTAATGAGCCAAAATCCCCCATAGAGAGCACAGGAACACAGCCATCTTATGCAGGAACCAAGAAAAGCTCAACTTTATGATCTTGTGTGTAATCTGGGAAGCTTTTCAGGAACAATTCAAAGTAGTTCAGTTAATACAAACATTGGCTTTATTTTTCTAAAGAAAAGTTGCATAAATGGATAATATTCCTGCACATTCCTTTAGCTATAACTATATTTGAAATTTCTTTTGGGAACTACTTCTTTGAATGTTAAAACCTACATTTGATTTATGGATGGAATGAAGGATTTTAGATTTTAGAATGAAGAGAGAAAAGCAGATTTTGATAAGACATGAGTTTCTTTTTCTTAAATTTCCTTTAAGGCAATGATTCACAGTCTTTGTGAAGCTTACTTTATGTTGTAATCCTTTTGTCTTTTAATGAAGGTGGATCATTTTATTACTTTATTCTTAACTAAAGAAATTCTGTGTTTCAACCCTGACTTTATACGGAGTGAACTTTGTTCCATTATTGTTGCAAATTCAATAAAAAAGCAATCTAGAAAAAAAGTTTCTTGATAAAAAAGGATTTTTAAAGTAACTTTATTGTTTTCTTAGATGTTATTTTTTTCATTTTTCTTCTAATTTTCATTTTTCAATTTCTTTCCATATTTTATTATTTCAAATTCATTTGAAACCAGATTAAGGTTTACCAATTAACATTAATGTTTAATTCCTCTGCTGGATGTTAGGGTTTAAGAGTAACTTTGTCGTTTTCTAAGATGTTAATTTTTCCAACCATCTTTTTATGTTTTATTTTGTCAGTACAGATTTTATATATTTTTGTTTTTTTGTTAATTCAAATTTCTCTTTTTCAGATTGAGTTTTACAAACTGCATTTCTTCCAATTGTGTTTTATAGATCAAATTGTCTTCATCTCAGTCTGAATACACTAACTCGCTCATGGCCGCTTGAAAACTTAATTTGGAAAGAATGCAATTAATCAAACTCAATCAGAGAAAAAAAACAAACTTAAAAATGAAATTTTAAAATATAAGTTTCATTAAAAAAAAAGAAAAAATAGAATTTGCAGAATAAAAATGAATTAAAACATGAAATAAAAAAAATATTTAGAAGAAAAGAGAATCTGATAAATTAGCAAAGTTACTTAAATTTTTTGTAATTATTAAGAACTTTTTCAAACTTTCATTTCTGGATTGCAGTTTTTTTCAAACATTTCCATATATAAAACTTTTTTGCTTGAACCAATATTAGAATAATGCTCTACTGATCACCACTAGATGGTAGCAAAGAGCTTCCAGTAGGATCTTTAGCTTGTGTAGATTCTGCATCATCCAGCATCAGAGGGGTCCCTCCGCCAGCCTGGCTTTTTATGGTGATTCTCGTTGCACTCATGCTGATTTACGTCTCTCTTCGCAGGGAAGCGACCTCATGAGTGCGGCATCTGCAGCAAGGCCTTCAAACA